TACTCCTCGGGTTTCGTGGACAATAACACGTTGTTTCAGGAAGATGGAGCACCGTGTCACACTGCTAGAAACACCCAAAAGTGGCAGGAAGAAAATGGTATTCAGAAGTTGCCCTGGCCGAGCCAATCTCCTGACATGAACCCCATCGAAAACCTCTGGGCCATACTCGACCGGCAAGTCAAGAAACAACAAAAAAAACCAACTTCGAAGAGCGATGTACTCCACGTTTTGAAGCAAGATTGTGCGAAAATCCCACAATCTAAAACTGACGAGATGATTCTTACGATGCCCCAAAGGATCAACAAACTGCACGAAGCGAAAGGAAGATCTACTAGATATTAATTAAATTATAAATATATCAATTCGTATGAATATGGCTGAAAATTTTCACTTTTTTCTGAAAAGGTGATGTTTATTTACTTGTGACCACGCTGTGTATACTATCTTCTTAATCTTCTTCGTTCCTTTATTTTGTTGATTATGTCAATGTTTGGTTACCAGCTGGTTTGGGTATTGTTTATTGATACTTTTGGTATGAATTTGTATGCTGTTTTAATGAGCTCTTTGAGATTACTGAGCAGTATCTGTCTATATTCAGGTTGCCTGTGGCTGTTGAGATCGGTTCATGTTGGATAAGCTCTATTAATATCTCCTCGTATTTCTTTCAATTTGATTTTTTATAGTTAAAGTTTTCTGTGTTTTGGCTGATTTTGGTGTGGTGAGAGATCGAATACACTCCATATCGGTAAATGGTCGCCGTCTGAATCATCTTCTACGTTGAATGTTAGAAAGTTGTTTATTAATGTTAGTGAGCACATACACACGTCTAGTATATCACTGGTATGTGTTGGTGTTGTATCGTTTAGTAGGTAGGTATCTGAATCATTCTTCTACGTTGAATGTTAGAAAGTTGTTTATTAATGTTAGTGAACACATACACAGGGCTAGTATATCACTGGTATGTGTTGGTGTTGTATCGTTTAGTAGATAGGTATCTGAATCTTCCAGAAATGACAGTAGGTATCTTCCAATAGAATTTGTGGTTCTGCAACCGAAAATTGTGTTTTTGCTATTGAAATTGCGTTTAATAATATATTTGTTGTTGTGGGAGATGATGTTGTTTAGCAGTGTTGTGGTAAGCAGTATATACCTGCTATTGTGACTGTTAGGTTATTGCTTAGAAGTACATCTATTGTAATATTTTAATTTTTTGACGGTAAGTTTGTTGTGTTTATAGATAATTGTATTTTGTATAGGAGTAGTATGCTCCGTTCTGGGGATTCCTTGTTTGGTCTGTTTATTCTTTCTATTTGGTATCTGGTCATTTTGAATGAATGGTAGTTGTAGAGCATTGTTTCGGTGTTAACTATGATATATGGCGATGTATTTGTGGCAATATGTTGGATGTCATGCCGCTTGGATGTTTAGGTGTAATACAGTAAGAGTATTCATTGTGGTATGATATTACATGTAGTATTAGATGTTGTAGGTGTTTCTTGATGAGATTGATAATCAGTGTTATAATGTCCGTATTGTTATTTGGTTTACTATATTCCTGAAGGAAGTCGGTAATTATGTTTATAATTGCTGTTGCTATTTCTCTGTTACCTTCATTGTTGGTGTTTGTACTTAGTCTGCTGGGCTCGTTTGTTGTTCTTCTTTGGTTTGTGGTTGTGTTTGTTCGTTTTTTTTTTTTTATGTGTTACCTCCGAGTATGTTCTTCTTTGTGTTGCATTTGCGTTGACTTTCCGTGTTGGTAGTAATAACAACTTAATAATTTTATTTCAAAATTAGCGCTTAACATGTATTTGGTATCATCGGAAAAATTAAATGGTTTGTATTGGGATAATTTTATTTTCTATAGCGAACTTGTCATCCTTTTACACTCAAATATAATGTAAGAAATGTAATGATAAAAATAAACGAAGTGAATATACAAGTTTAAAAATTAGAACCACCATAGCTCTTAATTGATGAAAGTATATCTTGGGTTTAGTAAAAACAGTAGTTGTCGTGACGTTTGAAAAACCTGAAGTAAACGTGTATAATTACTGGAAAAATGGTTTTAAAATTTTAATATCCAAGCTCTAACGTGTGACCAACTTACGTCGACGTGTAGCCACATGTCATACTTTTGGCAGATGTCCGCTAAAGGGTGAATAGGATCAAAAGCCCCTAAGACTGTGGTGCCAGAAGTGCAGTTAACAAAGAATGGTCGTTGTCCCCTAGCGACAGCTTCTGTAACCATTTTCTCCAGCTCCGTAGGTATAATCTTACCCCTGAATATAAAAGACAAGACAAAATCTGAATATCAGAATATGTACTTTGATGTCACATAAAAAAATCTAAATATATTAATCAGCAATATGCGACACCTACACAGTCTGCTTCATGTAATCTTTAACAGATGAATTTAATCTGGTCTTATTTACTAAATTACTAATCACTTGATTGTTTGGGTTAAATTGGTTCGACAATAACGTTATTAAAATAGTGCATTTAATAAAGAAATAAATTTCAACAATTTTTATATCGAAGTTGTTTGGGAATAATAGTTTAACAAAATATATTCGTATATTGGAAAACGTTCCACAGAGGCTCTCTCAACGGCGTTGTTTAGCGATAAGATTCCTAGTCGCAGCACAATAATTATTTCATCAGAACTCGTTTAGAATGACTTATCTGCCTGAAAAAAGGCCTCAGTATAGAAGTCTTAACGTCGTATACTCTAAAAACCGGCAGGGGCAGCACTTTAAAGCCAAAAAACAATCAAAAACTTCAAGTTTGGTAGAACTGATAAACAAAAAACCAATCCGTTATACTGATATTCAAAAAATTTCGGAAAATGCGTTAACTATCTGAAATGCAAGTAAATACTTTTATTCACATAGTTTGATTTAAACTAAACACTATTATCAGAAAACGTGTAACCAAACTAACTATTACTATCAACAACGTGTAATCAAAGTAAATACTTTTTAGAAGACGCATTGCCAAATTATCTGTTATTAACAAAAACGTGTAATTAAAGTAAATATTGTTATTAAAAGACGTGTAACGAAACTAAGGATTATTATTATTATTACGCAAAAATATTTGTAGTCAAATATTGTTGAAAAATATTAATAACACATAATTAGATTAATACAAGAATAACATTTTTCAGAAAAATAAAAACAGAGTTTAACATTAGTCGCTCCTTAACAGCATTTTGATAGATATTTTTTGTATTTATGACAAAGCTACTGACCGTAGGGAAGGTATCTAGTCAGCAGCCCTTCCACCCATCATCATCATCTACGCTACAGGATTGACCGTTAATCTCACAATGCAACCACAGATTAAAATGCGTGGAACATTTTGTGGTATCGTATAGAATCGAAGCCAGTTCACCAACCCCAAATCCAGATATATATTACAAGACCAACCCGCGTCCGTTCTGATGTATAATATTTTGCAGTAACAAGATAACTATTCAGTTATTAGTGTCAGACTGTATTTTAAAATGAATATTATGGTAGTAACAAAGGTTCCGTGTTTCATTCTGTTTAGGGAATGTAATATCTAACATCAAATCTATACATATTTACTTACGAAATTGTCAAATCAAGTCCATAGTTTAGTTTGCTGGTTCATAACACAAAGAAATAAAGCTCAATTATGTGAATGAATGCATAAATAAAACATCTGAAAAACGTGTAAAATGTAAAGTTTCATCCGAAAGAAGTTCTGTAGTTTTCTTCTTCATTGCTTTGTCTCGAAATAAAAATATATATAATTCTCCAAGTATGACAAAAGTTTCAGACACCAAACAAATTAAAAATCGTTTATTTCAGATGCTATGAGATCATAAATTTGTTTTATTTTAATTAAAGTTTGTTACATGAGCATCATATACCTGTTGTCACATGGAACTGATATTACATTATCAGTCCCTAATCCTGTAATCATACCGGCACCTTTCATGGAGTAATGACTCTGAAAAAATACCATAAATAACACGTGTTAATATCAAAAATCGCTCACTAAATTTGTGTACTTAATTAGAAATCTCTTCCTTTATAATTATTGATATAGAAATTATTAAAAATCCTTAGACTCGCTTGTACTTGTATTCAAATTTTTAGAATAACTTTAAGATACAAGTTCACAACATTATTGAATAACTAGATGTTTGAAAATATTATGACTAACTACAGGTCCACTTTCAGGAAAATTAAATGCATACATCAGTTATGCTATACTTATAATTAATATATTGATTCCAGTCAACGTATTTCTTTAATGTACTAAAAGCATCAAATTATTAATTACTATATTTATGAATAAAAAAACGAATAGTTTTGTGTAAAAATCAAAATTAAATTAAATTAAAGATTTTTTTAAAATAGATTTGCTTCATTACATGTATGATTATTTGAAACTCACGTGATCAGATGTGAAAATCACTAACTGCGGGAGACACTTCAAACCTTGAGTTTTATAGTTTGGGAACATTTTATGTCGGGCTGTCATCACAGCATATAGGTTAGAAATAGCGCCACCTAGAGGTAGAGGTCCATCCATAGAACTTCATATTATCAAATGTTTTTAAATTTTTTATTTGTTTTTCTTTTTTGGAAAATGCCAATAATTTAATGTAAAATTTTCCTGCTGCTAAATTAATGAAACTGGACAGTGTTGTATATTATGTTGAATTACTACAGAGAAAGTTGACGTCATACTGATTTATATAGGCTACTACTCACTAACAAGTAAAATGGTTATCAGTTCTGTCTTGTAGTTTAACAAGATCCGGGAAACGTATATGGCATTACAGAAAGTAATAGCAATGTTACAGTAACTTAAAATGGTAAAACGTGAAAAGTTATTACAAAAATTAGTTTCACTTTCTAGCATTATTTGATAGTACTGATTAATAAACATAGAAGTTATTATCTTGCATAATATTACTGCAACTAACATCTTTACATAAATTATTATCTTGCATAATATTACTGCAACTAACATCTTTACATAAATTATTATCTTGCATAATATTACTGCAACTAACATCTTTACATAAATTATTATCTTGCATAATATTACTGCAACTAACATCTTTACATAAATTATTATCTTGCATAATATTACTGCAACTAAATTACATTTAATAAAAAAATTATTTTAAATTACAATAACCGTTTTTGCCAAATCTAAAACTTTATCCTATTGAAAACTATATGATTCAAAGGAGTTTAGCCTGAGCAAAAAATTCGACAACGTGACGTTGATAATAAATAACTGAACTACATTCGGTTAGTTAGAGAACTACGTGTATCAGCCAGCACTAGAAAACATACAACTACGGATTTATTTTTACATTACAGCTGTATATCATACAAACTTAGAAAGAGTTATAGTTAGTATTAGATTTGAAATATATCTTAAACCTGGAGCTAAAATACTGTCTCCATCCCTGAAACCAATAATCTCTCTCATCTTTTTCAAGGTGACTTGCTCCATTAAAATGAACACGGGGGCGATTTCGTAGGTAAACCTAAGGAAAATAAATCTATTGTTTTATATGCACGTATTTTATAAATGCTTTGATCATCTCACTTATTTAAATTTAATACATAAATAAATAAAGCAATAAGAATTTAAAAGTTAAATCATCTAGCAGATCTTTTTCCTCCTAAGTTTTGGATATTTATATTTAAATTATAATCTAACAACTTTTTTGTTCCTGCTACTTATCAACAATTCGGTATGGTAGTTTAACAACTATTTATTCCTGATAATTATTCAAACTCTGTCTGCATCATAGTTTAACAACTATTTATTCCTGATAATTATTCAAAACTCTGTCTGCATCATAGTTTAACAACTGTTTATTCTGATAATTATTCAAAACTCTGTCTGCATCATAGTTTAACAACTGTTTGTTCCTGATAAATATCAACGACTCTGTCTGCACCACAGTTTAACAACTGTTTGTTCCTGATAATCATCAACAACATTGTCTGCATCATAGTTTAACAACTGTTTGTTCCTGATGAATATCAACGACTCTGTCTGCACCACAGTTTAACAACTGTTTGTTCCTGATAATCATCAACAACATTGTCTGCAACATGTTTAACAACTGTTTGTTCCTGATAATTATCAACAACTTTCTCTGCATCATAGTTTAACAACTGGTTGTTCCTGATAATTGTCAACAACTTTGTCTTCATCATAGTTTAACAACTGTTTGTTCCTGATAATTATCAACAACTTTGTCTTCATCATAGTTTAACAACTGTTTGTTCCTGATAATTGTCAACAACTTTGTCTTCATCATAGTTTAACAGCTTTTTGTTACTAGTAATCATCAACAACTAAGCCAGTATCAAAAACCAACGGCTCTTTGTTTATAATCAGTTTCTATGTCTCAGGTATTTATATTTTATGACAGAGCTACTAAGGTTATCTGCAGGCCCTCCCAATTCTGAACTACTAACCAGAGGGAAGGCAGCTAATCAGCAGCACCCCTCATCTTTGCTGAGGGATTGAATGCCACTTTTGTAAAGCATACATAGCTTAAAGAGAAATATTTTTATGATATCGCACGAATTCGAAGCAGCTCGCCAACTCCGTAAATTCTGAGCTCTACCATAGGGCCAACCAGCGCCCATCATAATATAGCACCTGTTTTCCTACTAATTCTTCTTAACTGTATCATAATATTGTTTATAATCAACCAGGTCATTAAAAGTGTAAAAGTAACCATGATACTTCAAAAATATATATATTTGAGCTTTATATCCAAAAAAATCCGCAAAGCGAAACATAAAGAAATTAAACTTTTGTTTTTTTTTGTAATCTGACAGTCCATTTCAAATAGAGTCCGCCGGTGGGACAGCGGTAAGTTTACGGACTTACAACGCTCAATCCGGGGCTCAATTTCCCGCGGTGGATACAACAGATAGCCAGATATGGCTTTGTTCTAAAAAAACAAACAGACAGTTCATATCGTTTATTACATCATCTATATTACATTTAATAGCTTCTCAGTGAAACAATGGTCAAGAATAATTCTATATTCTTATTCTATACTGGCTTTAATAAACCTTTTAGATCATATTAATATAATATATATTTCAAACTGGGTAAAAGCATGAGTCATAGAACAAAGATACTGTGTCTCTCATTAAATAATTAACTAGAATCTCGCCTGACCGAGAGTTGTTCACGTAGGTCATTTAAGTTGAAGGTTATAATGAGATATATAGTATGTGATAGAAGCACCAAAGCTAAATGCTGAAACTTTAAAATATTTAAAAATGTAAATATTTCTTAAAAAACAACAAAGTAATGGCACTAGTCACTGTTACCTTGTTATTGCCACACATCAAAGGAATGGTAGACGCTACTTTTACCTTGTTACTGTCGTACAGCAGAGGAATGACACAGGATACTTTACCTTGTCACTGTCGTACAGCAGAGGAATGACACAGGATACTTTTAACTTCTTGCTGTCGTACAGCAGAGGAATGACACAGGGTATTTTACCTTGTTACTGTCGTACAGCAGAGGAATGACACAGGATACTTTTAACTTCTTGCTGTCGCACAGCAGAGGAATGACACAGGGTATTTTACGTTGTTACTGTCGTACAGCAGAGGAATGACACAGGATACTTTAACTTCTTGCTGTCGTACAGCAGAGGAATGACACAGGGTACTTTACCTTGTCACTGTCGTACAGCAGAGGAATGACACAGGGTACTTTACCTTGTCACTGTCGTACAGCAGAGGAATGACACAGGATACTTTACCTTCTTGCTGTCGTACAGTAAAGGAATGATACAGGCTACTTTACTTTGTCACGTTCGTACAGTAAAGGAATGATACAGGCTACTTTACCTTGTCACGTTCGTACAGTGGAGGAATGATACAGGCTACTTTACCTTGTCACGTTCGTACAGTGGAGGAATGATACAGGCTACTTTACCTTGTCACGTTCGTACACTGGAGGAATGACATAGGCTGTTTTTACCTCGTACAGCAGGGAAATGGCATAGATAATCTCAAGATTATGTGAATGTGTAAATGTGCCTTAGAAACAATATTGTCCTTTTTTGAAATATATGCTACTAGTTTTGAAACGTACTATTGTCATCGTGATGTATTTATTATTCCATGTTATATTTATGTATATATATAGAGGGAGCTTTGTATTACCAATGGTATTTTTATATTATAGTTTTAATTATAAGATCTAGAGAATTCAGCTACTTTCACTTAATCTAATCACCAGTATTGGATTACTTTTTTTAAAGAATGAGGTAGTTCGCGTTGATTAAATACCTAACTGAGTTTATATATGCTAGATATACATGACTATTTCGATTTAAGATCAATGCGAGCGTTAGCGTTATGATTTAGATAGATTATATAGCGCGAGTGTTAAATTTGGTTATTTTTAGAAGCAATATTTTATTGCAAGTTGGTTTACATAACTGTTTATGAATCATACATTGTGTAATTCAGTTGTTATGAATCGGTGATTGTTATATTATTGCGTCATGTTACTAGACCCTTTTGAGCTTTTCTCGTAGTTTTAATTGAGTATTATTGCATCATAATATCGAGTAATGTGTGGAACGTTCTAGACATCTGTCGTCATAAATATGCGTCGAAAATTTAATTCAAAAGATACATCTAGACTGTATGATTGTGAGTGTAGCCATAAAGAGCATATAGAAGCGATTTCTAAAGTGAAATTATCACAGAAATATTGTAATAATAGAGCAGGAAGAATAACCTGTCTGGTCAAATTGTGTTCTAAAGTATCTAAACCAGTCTGTGTGGGTTTTGATGACAAAAATCCAATTATTTATGGCTCTGGGTACACTGTGATTGCCAACAGTGTAACGAAGCTTTGTATAAATGTTTGACTTGTTTTAATACATAATTTTAAAACAAATGGACTGTGTGCTGTTTGTTGTTGAAATTTATCACCAACATATCACAGACACCTACTGTAAAGAATCCGGCCCATAGATAAAAACTGACAGTGGCGAGCCAGACAGGATATACAGTGGTAAACAGTGGTAGAAGTAGACATAAATAACCATATAGACTGAATTTGATAAGTGAATAGAGAGGCGAAAACGACTTGGATATAAAAATAGTGATCTACGAGAGTTTGTTAAACAGCAACAAGAAAGAGAAGAGTGTTAACAGAGAAGACAAGAAAAAAAAAGAGAATGAAGAAAGGTAGAGAAAGGAGAGACTGAAAATATAAAGAATAAGAGCACAAATTGAGAAAGGAGAAATGGAGAGAGAGAGAGGAGAGATTGGACATAGTGGGAATAAGAGCACACACTGATATCACTACTCTCACCAAACAGAAAGATGGGTGACCCAAGATTGACAATGTGGTTAGGGCCAGCCGACCCAAGCTGCCCAGATTTAAACAAAAAGACGACATAAATGCTTTCCTGGTGAGGTATGAAAGATTCGCCTAATGTCCGCCCCCTTATTCACAGGAAAAGGCCTACAAGTGTACGTGGGCATGATGTCAGAAGGTGCCATAGATTATGAGAAGTTAAAAGTGGCCTTGTTGAAACGCTATGAACTCTCTCAGGAAAGTTTTCACCAGAAGTTCAGAGAACTCAGACCTGACACTGGTGAAACTATATTTCAGTTTGTGGCACATCTATGGTGGTACTTCATAAGGTAGATTTACATGGCCAATTGTGAAGATAGTTTCAAGGAGTGACAGATCTACTAACACGTGAACAGTTCATGATCACGTGCTCTACTAGCATATCACTATTTCTAAAAGAGAGAACACCGAAAGACGTGGAAGAGATGGTCAAGCTGGCAGAATAATATATGGAAGCCTATGGAGGGAGTATAACTGGCAAGTCCAATAATAGTCAGTCAAAGCCAAACCCAAGGGTGCTGACTAGAAGAAGAATGCCACTAAAGGTGACAAAAATTGAACAGAAAAAAGGGGAAAGAGATGATATGCTTATCATAAAATGGGGCACATTGTGAATGAATGAAAGTCTGTCACCAAGAAGCAAAAGCAGAAATCTCAACATAAAACTGCTGGAGCTACATAAAAGATTATGCTGGCAAAAAACAAGAAAAGAATGATTGGTCATGGATGCTGTCCAGCAGAAACAAAATAAAATCAACTCATCAGATTCACCACAAAAAGGAAGTGCAAACAGAATGATTAAACAGTGTATGATTGATGGTCAGCTCAAGTTAATGAACGGGTCAACAATGCCAGTAGTGAACAGAAAATGTGATAAACATTGACATGTGCCAACAAACCACAACACGCCAGTAGGTGAAGATTATGTTAGGGACAAAAAAAATAAAAGTCCCAAGCAACACTGGGTGCAAAAGTGCAGCAGTGAGAACCAGTCTAATATCTGATGGCCAGATGACAGGTAAGGTACATCTGTATGTGCTGATTTATTGGATAATGGGAAAATTTCCTATTGCAAAAATAAAGGTGAATACTCCATATTACATGAGAGACCTTGAGGCCATGTGTATGAAAGCACCCATTTATGACTTGGTGATTGGCAATATACCAGGTAGTAGAAGTTTGGAGGAATCAGATAGAAAGGAGACCAATGAGGCATCTGCAATTACCACAAGAGCTCAAGAAAAGAAAAGCAAGCAAGACATCAAGCCCCTGCAAGTCTCAAAGATGACAGCGTAAATGTAAGTCTACATGAACTGCAAGAAATACAGAAGAAAGGCCCTTCACTGGAGAAACTTTGGGGCAGTGCCCAGAGGAAAGTTGAGTACAAGACAAAGGGGAGAGGGACTTGCAGAATAGAGAAGTGGAAGGGAGTGCTGTACCAGATCTATCAAAACAACTCTAGTGAGGGAGTTAAACAGATCACAATACCAACAGAATACCATATTCAAGTGATGAATTGTGCTCATGAGTTGATTGTGGGAAGACACCTAGAAGCAAAGAAGATGGCAGACAGAATCACTAGCAATTTCCATTGGCTGGAGTCATCAGAGATGTGACAAGACTGTGCAGGTCATATCTGCCCTAGGACAGTACCTAGAAGAAATGTAGCCGAGGTGCCACTGGTTGAGATGCCTCTCATAGAAGAGCAATTCTGTAGAGTAGCTGTTGATTTTATCATACCACTTGCACCTGTATCTCAAAAGGGCAACTGGTATGTGCTGACAGTAGTCAACTATGTGAAAACACTGCCGAAAATAGAAACAGAGAGAGTAGCAGAAGTCCTCCTGGAAGAGTTCTACAGAATAGGCTTTCCAAAAGAAGCCTTGGGTGACAGAGAGACTCGGTTTACCTCAGAACTGATGCAAGAGGTATGAAGACTCATCAACACTAGGCAGCTCTTTACCATCACATTCAACCCCAGATGTAATGGATTTTGTAAGAGAGTCAACAGGGTATTAACGAGCATTCTGAAGAAGATGTGCCAGAAGAGACCACGTGACTGGGACAGGTACCTGCAAGCAGTATCATTTGCTTATCAAGAAGTCTCACAAATGAGTACAGGATTTTCACCCTTTGAGTTACTGTATGGAAGAACAGTACGAGGTCCGATGCAGATATTGAAAGAACTGTGGACAGGAGAAGAAGAGTCAGAAGTGCGAAACACATCACAGTATATGTTAGACTTCACGAACTGACAGGAGGGCACCTGTCAACTCACTTAAGAAAGTTTGTATGCAGCTCAAGGCAGTAAGAAGCACTTCTATGACAAGAAGGCCAAAGATCGACGTTTCAAGATCGGATGGAAGGCCTTGGTTCTGCTATCTACAGACAACAGCAAACTCACCCCACAGTTGTCAACAGAATTGACTATAAGGTGAAAGTGGATAGGAAAACCAAGATTTACCATGCCAGTCTATTGAAGAGGTACTTCAATAGGGAAGAAGACCTAATGGGTGCAGCTAATGAAGCACAGATAGATATAACAGGTATTGCTGTCATAGACACAGAACTAGAGAATGGTGATTTTGTTATAGAAGCTGAAGACATATTACACTTAAGACCACTTGGTGGAGATGAGACATACAAAACATCAACATTGTAAAGAACTGTCTGGCATGCAGAAGAAAGAGCTACAAAATCTGCTGTGCCAGTATGCAGATGTATTTACAGATAAATCAGACAAGACAGACCTTATGCACACAAAATCAAAACAACGACCAGGGATCCAGTCAAGGTGAAGTCCTATAAGATGCCCTAAGCAATGAGAGATCTGATCAACCAAGAAGTCGAGGTAATGCTGGAATCCAGAATCATTGAGCCTTCAAATTCAGCAGACTGTTCACCACTGGTAAATCTTGAAGAAGAGGGATGGCTAAAACTTCTTCTCAATAGATTTCTGGAAATTGAATCTCGTGACTAAGTTTGACTCCGAACTTATGGACAACCCAGAGCCTATCATATCGAATATATAAACGGGGCCAGGTTCTTTACCAAGAAAAGGTAAAAGTTATTGGCCGATCCTGATGAGACATAATCTAAAGACAGTCTTTATGACAACAGACTGATATTTCCAGTTCAAGATGTCATTTGGGTTAGACAACTCAGTAGCAACATTCAACCACATGACGTGGAAGATGTTGCACAAAACCACCAATATCGAGTATTATGTGGAAACATTCTGACCTCTGCAGCCAGATGGGAAGACCACCTGAAGAAACTCAGAGAGTTGTTCGGGTGAGTGAGGACAGCAGGTCTGACCATCAGGCCATCTCAGTGCTACATCAATTATTCTTTGCTGGACTTTGTTGAGCACAAATTGGACGACCAACAGATAGCCATGGAAGAGGAGAAGCTAGCCTGCATAGAAGATGCACCAGCTTCAATGACCAAGAAGTAAATTAGATCTTTCCTGGGGTTAGCAAGATACTATAGGAAGTTCATCCAAATCTATGCTGAAGTCGCTGCTCTACTGTCTGACCTGACCAAAAAAGACCAAACCAACAAGGTGAACTTGGAGCAGATGGCATTCCAGAAGTTGAAGAACATTTTAGGAAGTTCGCCAATTCTTAGAATACCAGATTTCAACAAACTTTATCTTTGAGACTGATGCATCTGATGTTGCTATTGGAGGAGTTCTTCTGCAAGAACATCTAGATTGACTGTTTCCTGTAATGTGTTCAGTAAAATGCGGTTGGGTTTGAGAATAACTACTCTGTGATTGAAATAGTGTGTCTGACCATCATATTTGACATCTGGGCATTCCAGAACTACCTCAAGGAGAAGGAGTTCATTATCCAGACGGATCAGCATCCCCTTGCATACACCCAGAGGTGCAAAATCGACATTGTGAGAATCATGAATGGGCATTGTACCTCCAGAATTACTGGTTCAGCATTGAAGCCATCAAGTGGGCTGCAAATGTTGGTGCAGATTGTATGAGTAGACTTTGTGCATGAACTGAAAACAGTCTTTGTATATAGTATAAACATATTTACAATATTTTTCTTGAAGAGGGCTTATTGTTAGATATACACAACTGCTTAAGTTTAAGTTTAATGCGAGAGTTATGATTTAGATACTTTATATAGCGCGAGTGTTAAATTTAGTTATTTTTAGAAGTGATAATATAGCAACTTTTAAACGTAACTGTTTACGAATAATAAGTTGTGTGGTTCAATATTATGAATTGATGATTATTATATTATTGCTATAACTTTCTGAGTTTTTCTCGTTGTTTTTAATTGAGTATTATTGCATCATATTATCTAGTAATACTCTGTCGGGGTATATATATATATGTATATATACATCGAAGATTTAGTTCGAAAGATAAATTTAGACTGTGTGATTATGAGTTTATCCATAAAGAGCATATAGTGCCGATTTTTAAAGTGAATTGTCACAGACTGTATTGTAATAACAGAGCAGGAATTGTAATTTGTATTGACAAATTGTGTTCTAAAGTAACTGATCCAACTGTTTTAAAGCTCTGAATACAACTGTGAGAACCAACAATGTAACGAACATTTGTATATACGTTTAAGGTGTTTTCATATAATATTTTAAAACAAATGAAATGTGTGCTGTTTGTTTGTTGCTGAAATTTATCGCCAACAAGTCACAGGCACCTACTGTAAAGAATCGGGCCCATGCATACAACCCAACAACATATGATACCCTATATTAATACAGTACAATTCCACTACATACGTGACTTCTTATTACTTTTGCCTGGACTAAAAAATTTAAATGTGACACGAGCTATGACTGTTGAATGTCATAATAGTGTTCAATATTCCAAATTTCTAATTATCTTAGATGTCACTAGGAAGAAAAAAATGTCTAATAATCTATTTCTGTAATTCGAGGGAAAATATCCTAGGAAATACGCACAGGTTAGTAAAAAACAAAAAAAATATTAAGAGCATAGGGTTAATAACAAACTAAAAGCTTCAATCAGTTCAAACCTACAAAAATGTTTTCGTACTAAGGTCCTTTATCATGCTGTATTTTGTTCTGTTTACTTTGGAGAAACAACTACTTAAAACGAGCTGAAATATTATAATGAACTTTATCTGTGATAACACGATGCAACTTTTCAATTAATTTTTCATTTATGTGCCAAAAATTCAGTCAAATAGACAAGTCTTTGACTTTAAATTGTATAATTTAACTTAAATACTGACAGGTTGTGAGACTGATTTTGTTAACGAGGAACCATTTACTCACATGTTAGTGTTTGCAGCAGCTGTTAGCCATTCTCCAGCTAAGGATACGATGTCCAGCCCACAAGAAAGTTGGTTGAAGTAATAAGGATGTCCTAAGGATGAAAATGTAAAACGTTAAACATCATCGTATTAACACATTTTTAAAATGATAGTGTTACCGTATTCTCATCATTTATATAATATTACGGCCGAAGATATGAATAACAGCAATGTTATTTATCTGATCAATACATGTATTTCAATCTTTACAAGTTTTCCTTATTTTGTCATTTAGTTTGCTTGTTTTGAATTTCGCGCAAAGCTACACGAGGGCTACCAGCGCTAGCTGTCCCTAATTTAGCAGTGAAAGACTAGAGGGAAGGCAGCTAATCAACATCACCCACCGCCAACTCTTGGGCTACCAACGAAGAGTGGGATAGACTGTCACGTTATAACTTCCCCACGGCTGAAAGGGCGAGCATATTTAGTAGAACGTGCATTCTAACCCGCAGATTGCCAATCGAACGCCTTTAATACCTGGACATGTGAGGCCTATCATTTAGTTTAAGATATTACATACCCCTAGTTAGTCCGTTATGTAAAATTTTTTCGTTATTTTCTTCATATCTATTTAATTAGATCGCTTTGATAAGAAGTTATTGATACTATTTAGAGATATATTTACCACCATCAATTACTTTTTTGATAGTTTCAACTTAATCACCTCTCTCTCTCCTCTTGCAATCCCAACTTTTATATGAATATTAATTGAAAGTTGGTAAAGTATTTCAACATTCAACTAACTGAAAATGACGTTATACTGGTCCAATACTGCATCTAAGCCAATATTAATCTAGTCATTCTAACAATTGTCGTAAGAGACTTTTCATACAAGAAGTAGATATCAATAAAGTTAGACGTATGACAAACAGTAAGTCTAGCAGAGATTGAAATATAAATAGTTCGAAACAAATGTTTTTTCTGCTTCTTTGTAAACATACTTCATCAGTGAGAGCTTTATAAAGGAAATATTCTACAACATGCTGTAGGCGATGGAGAGATCACATATACTATAGCGAATCCCAATATAACATAACTCGCTCTCAGAACTGGACTCACCTCTGATGCTTTCGTACTAGCGTTCACTTAGATATTGAAGAAAAAGGGGATTTCACCTCAGCCAGTCAGCAATATAGAGGCCTTTTACTGTTCTAGATCTATAAGTAACCACTAGAAAAATACAGTTGCTTGTAGAACTAATCGTGGGCTTTAAACGCGTTGGATCTCTTGTTATTCCCAGCAGCACAAAAAGAGCGGTTTGTTAGAAACCAGATTCGGATAGCCAGACGGAAGAAAGCTGTAATACCATGAGGCGTATTGGAAGATTAAACCCTAAGCCTTCGTCAGATTTTTCAATTATGGTTCTAAATGTATACCTAACACATAAAAAATGTATCATTGATTCTTTGTTCATGTTTTATATGAAAATAATCAGATACACAACAGTGACAATGTTTCTGTACTTACATATAAATATATATGTCTTTGTGTGTGTGAAATTAATATTATATGTGAGCGCACTTGAGGACTACCCAGAATCATATGTTATGTTGTTTATGTTATAAGTCTATAATTAGTACGTATATTCTTACCGTACTTTTATACAAAAGAAGCAACGTAAAAATTATCAACGAATTTGAAATGATCAATTGGGGATGTATGTGTATAGTATAAGTTAATAGAAATCATATTTCACCCACGTAATATTATTATGCGTTTTCCATGGAGTTAATAGTTTGAGAGCTCTTGGAACAAGATTCACGTTTTAAGGATAACACTGACGGTGAAAATATATTGAAAACAAAAAAGTAGTATTAATAGAAATATCAGTAATCCCTAATTAGTCTTCATTCAATTTTATCATTTACTAGAATGTTATTATCTCTTACAATAAGTTTAATAAGAGTCCACTATGACTTAACTAGACAATTAAACGTCATAATACAACACATGTAATATATATATATATACATATTTCAATGAGCTTAAATACGAAAGCGATAGCCTCCCAGTGGCACAGCGATATGTCTGCGGACTTACAACGCTAGAAACCGTGTTTCGACACTCATGGTGGACAGAGCACAAATAGCCCATTGTGTAGCTTTGTGCTTAATTTCAAACAAACAAAGCTATACTGGCCGTCCTAGTTTATCATTGATAAAATACAGAGAAAGCAGTTAGTCAACACCGCTCACTGCCATCTCTGAGTTATTCTTTTACAAACGAATAGTGGAATTGACCGCACATTATAACGCTCCCACGGCTGAAAGGACGAGCATGTTTGGTGACGTGGATTCGAACCCCCAAACCATAACCACAAGGCCACACCAAACCCAGCGATAAATGAAAATCGAATACACGGATTGTTTTATCTGGTAATGTTCCACCAAATCACAATTCTACCCCCACCCCACAATAATTTTACAATTTATTAGTCCCCCTCAGTTTTCGGTGTAGAAGTTATTTTAAAAAATTGCCAACTGTATTTTTATATAAAATGGCTCATCTCATTTCGAAACATCCAATAATTGCCCTTAAGATGCAATAACTAATCTCATTTTAAATACGATTAGTTTAAAAACTTTCATCCAATAATTGCCCTTAAGATGCAATAACTAATCTCATTTTAAATATGATTAGTTTAAAAACTTTCATCCAATAATTGCCCTTAAGATGCAATAACTAATCTCATTTTAAATACGATTAGTTTAAAAACTTTCATCCAATAATTGCCCTTAAGATGCAATAACTAATCTCATTTTAAATATGATTAGTTTACAAACTTTCGTTCGACGTGTTTTTAGAAAGTACACATTTTGAAACATTTTTAAAAAAAAATTACATTAAATTTATGCTTTCATATTATATTACAAGTATTTATCTGACTCATCTTCAATTTATAGATGTTATATGACTCATTCTTATCTCTCTTTCCTACTAACATAACACACTGTCTCACCTCAATTATAACAAAATATATTTAAAAAACCCGTGAACTCAACAAATTTAATTATAGCTTATTAGTTAATTGCATTTATTAATTTTTTATTTTGGTTTTAAACAATTATTGTCAGTTGACTTACATTTATTTTTAAAGTCACTTCATTTGATTTGAGCTTATTTCATAATCAAAATATACATATCAGTGATTTATAAAAATCACATTTTGCAATATCCTCTGTCCTTTAGTTTATCATTGAAAGTCAGTTTATGACTGGGGACAACAGTGTTTCTATTAGAAATACATTGTTAAAGGTTAATTCCCCATGGTTAAGGAATATGTGTCTCACATTCCCTAAGGGAATAACATTATATGTGAGTCTACCAATAGTAGAGTTGAAGCTACATTGGAGTAAAACAATTGTAATGAATTTCAAAAAAAAGCTTGTTTTCGAAACGGTGAAGGATGTGTTTTATATGAAATTTTATCTAATCTCTAGAGAATGCAACATACGATTTTCATAATTTAATTTCATTGAAAAACTTTCTATGCTTTAGTTGTTTTGATTAAAATAATATAGAGTTTACTTATTTAATTTGACAATTTAAAGGTTAAACCTAGTAAAATCGTTACATCCTCTTGATTTTATGAACTCAACAGAATCACTTCAAAATTACAACTGTCTAATCTGATATGCCAACTTAAGAAAAATATAAAAAGCAACAAGCGTTGAAAGTGAATTTCATAATTTTCAAACTTCAAGAAAATGCCTGAAATTGTTGAAGACATGTATTGAAACAGCCAAACTATAATTACTAAACTCAGTAAATTCCGACCCTTTTGGTTACAGACGCAATTATTTTCTATCTCCTTTCTATAACTAATATCATATGCATTAGCTTCTCTTTTTAATGAGCTTTGTCTTCTCCGAAGTTATTACCTATAATAAATATTCTAGTGGAAGTCAACGAAACGTTACTTCTACTATAAATATATCTAAGGTAAGTTGCCAATAAAAAGGTTTGTTTTGCAATAAAAGTCATTTAACGCTAAAGAATTATAATAACAGTTTTAATATTATTCAAAAACAAAATTAAAAGCTTTTAAATTGGATAGAAAGATGAATAGATGGATAATTAACTCTTTTGGTAGATAAATGGCTATAACAGCGCCTCAATTATACGAGGGAGCCATTGGCTGGCTTATAGTGGAACAGGAAAGACATTATCTAAAATATATTTTAATTTCAATTCTGAAAACGTTACATTAAATTTGAAATAAAATGAATACTTCTGTAGTTTATCATTCTTTAGGTTTACTTTTACATGCAATGTAATTTTGCTTATTAAAAATTATAACAGTGTATTTTTTTACCAGTTTTTACTTGGAACTTTAAAGTATTCCTACAGTCCGTTAGTAGCTGGTCTAAATTCTCAGGTTCAGCAAGGATGTCGAAATCCAGTATTTCCTTCAGCTGCTCTGGCTGATAGAAATCCAGTATCTTCGAACTTCTGTCATTAGATGATTTCAGGAAATCTAAGAGTATCTGGATAACTCGATGAAGGAACTCACGAGTTACTTCAAATCCGTCTTTTGTAAGAGGAATGAGATCTGTTAAAATCGAATTTATAGATACGAGATATATTTTTCGTTTGTGTTACTTCTAAACACATACAAATATCAGGAAGAATAAAATATCCAATTTTTTTTTTAAATATATGAGTTAAGGTCAAAAGTTATCTGCATGTTGTTGAAAAATTAACATAATTACATGAAAGTGAAAATAATTTCATTTTAAATAACAACGCGATGCTTATCAACATGAAAACCGAAACTAAAACTGAAACTGAGATCTAAACTTTCTTGTAATCCATTTTACTTTGAATATTGCCTGAATTTTCGAAACCTATCATTAATTATCGATCTGAGCCGACATAAAAGATGTTTCAAAATAACTTTAAAACAACAGATATGTATAGAGAAATACCAATCTAAATAAGGGGAGATAAAACATAAGACAAAGATAGCAATCATTACAGGAAATTAGAAAGTTTATATTGACTTTAACAAAAACCATTCTGTAAGTCGAAACGAAAAATATGTGCTGATTTTGAGGTGATTCGAGACAGAGTATTTAACAAGTTGACGTGGTTTATATACATATTTTCTTTGAATTTGTAGACGATATTTTGAACTTTGTATTGAAAAGAGGAAGGCAAGATAAAAAACAAACAAAATTCGTCGTTGTACAGAGGGTTGAGTACTTTATACCAAAACAATTTTAAATATGCAAATAAACAAGTCATCAAGATAACCATGGTCGATAAAATGTTGCGGATGTGATAGCAAGTTTCGGAACTAGATTTTCAGATTGTTTGGCTTTGCGTAGGCCACCGAAAATTGATTGCTTTTACTCTCGTTCCGGCGCAAAATATTCATAAACTCAGATCACAAATATGTTTTCAAATCAAGGATTTAGAATTTCCAAGGCGGGAACATTCCTTGTATTTAATAAAATTGGAAAATAAAGCAATATGGATTAACTTGGGACACCAGGACCACCCAGAAAACGTCAGCAACAAGTGCCACCCAGCTGTAGTAAGCAAAGTGAGGCATCTTGTAACAAGAGAATCCAGAAACACAGAAGTCAGTAGCAAAAGCTGTCCACGTGCTTCAGGCAAAAGTACATAATTTAATCGACAAAGATCTCCTTCTGGATAAGCGACATTTATATACAAGTTGCTTCCACGGCATATCCGTTCAACAGTTGCATACATCAAACAACTGGAGAATGAAGCTGGTATTCATCTCTTCCATAAGAACGCAGTGCCTATGCATTTCCATGCGATCGGACTATTGAAATGGGTGCTGAGAAACCATCGTCCTCGTACACTATATTGATTATGGAAATCAAGTAGGAAGATTGTTTGTTTGTTTGTAATTAAGCACAAAGCTACACAATGGGATATCTGTGCTCTGCCCATCATGGGTATCGAAACCCGGATTCAAGCGTTGTAAGTCCGCAAACATACTCTGTGCCACTGGGGGGGGGGGGAGTAGGAAAATGTTATATACTTTGGACATGGCAGCCTTACGACGTAGCCTTTTGCAATGGTAAATTCACAGCAGAGCTACTGTCAAAATGTACGGTCGTCATATAGAGCATGAGTGGATGTACCGGCATAAAGTTTAACAATGTGGTGAGGCGCAAAAATCGTTTTAATTCAACCTAATGAACCTCTAGTCAGAGCTATCTCAATCGAACCGACTCTATGAAAAAAACAAAATGTGTAAACTGTAAAATGATATGGAAAAACTTATGTAAATATATGTAAATTCTCTCATCATTCTTTAACTGCGAGTGATTTACATATAATACGAAAAGTTCCACAAATGTTTAATAAACTAACTTTGCTGAATCCGAATTGAAAGTGTGATCTTTACTTTATTCTTTCTTGTATTTAATTTTCACTTATACGCCTTTATGACAAATTCAACAAAACAATATACAAATTTGTATTTATTTTTTACTTGTTTGATATTATTTAAGATTTTGATAGATTTATTGATAACCTCATTTACAAATGAAATGATCATGTGTTCTGAATAATCTTTCAGGTTGTTCTTATGTTAGCTCTGGATTTCGGACAAACTGTAGATAATTTTAAATTACTGGAAAATGAAGTAGGGTTTCTGCATTTTGTACATCTAAGACAAATATTAAAATGTTCTTACTGATTAGTGGTAAGCAGCTAGCTGAGTTAAATAATTGGAGACGACAGTTAGGTTCTACGTCGTTCTTGGAGAGGGCCGGCATAGCCAGGTGGTTGGGACGCTCGCCTCGCAATCTGTGGGTCGCGGGTTCAAATCCCTATCACACCAAACATGCTCGCCCTTTCAGCCGTGGGGGTGTTATAATGTAACGGTCAATCCACACTATTCGTTGGGAAAAGAGTAGCCCAAGAGTTGGCGGTGGGTGGTGATGACTAGCTGTATTCCCTCTAGTGTTACACTGCTAAATTAGGGACGGATAGTGTAGATAGCCCTCGTGTAGCTTTATGCGAAATTCAAAACAAATCAAGCCGTTCTTGAAGAAACCTGATGACGTGATATATAATTTTTCTAAATACGTTCTAAATGACATTGAGAAGAAAGTACTAGCTCAGGGTTTTAAGTTTAGTGTTCCGAATAGCCTTAAATTTGAAGATTATTTTGTTCAATTAGAACAGTTTTTTATAAATATTATCATATCAAACAATATCGAATAATTCGAGCCAAAGTTTTAGTAATACTGGAGCACGGATTAGTTTGTTTGTTTGTTTGAATTTCGCGCAAAGCTACACGAGGGCTATCT